GCAGTTGTGGGGTGATTTTTTTTGTAGATATCCATCATATCCCAAGAGGGACGTCATCAGTTGCATCTACATGACATGGCACTGCACTTTTGATTCACTGCTATGCGATGATGACATGACGGTTCATGCGACGAGTTTCGTCCACGATGACGCAGAACTCAAGTTTAGGAAGAATGTCCGCATTCTCTAGTACATTGTTGCTCATGATGACGCAGAACCCGCTTCTTCTGCGGCTAAAGCACAAAAGTGCGCGTCAATCAATTTCTCTGCGATCATTTCGGTTACGTCATCGGAGGTACTATTACGCGATAAGTTGACAGGCGATGAATGCCTTCGTCCCTGTCAGATTCATTACCGTGCCATTGGGCCTTGCTGCACTACTCTTGAAATGCACGAAAGACAAAAATCATGCCGTGTATCTGTCCATATTCTAGCGGAAGATTCACTCTCGTTTTGCACATTTCGAGAGTAGTGCAGAGAGGCCCATTGTATCTGCAGAGTTGAATATGCAAAGGACTGCTGCTCTTTTCCAGATTGTGTACTCTACATACTCGTCACCCAGTCATCACATCTCAGTGCTGAATTTTGTGTCTTCTTTGTACTTCTTTCCTTCCCCCCCTCCCCCCCCCCCCCCCCCCCCGTATCTATAAAAGGAGGGGACGGCCTTGAAATATCATCATTTGACTTGACCTGCCGTAGGTAATTTAAAATTGCAGTATTTTACTCGTCGGCTTCCATTGGGGTTCGAACTTCGAACTCAGGTCTGTATTTCAACAGTTCAGTTCAGGGGCGTACCAACTGAGCTAGGCCGGTCGGTCATTTGTGTGTTGAAAATTGCTGATCGTGTGTAGTTTCTGTTTGCCACACAGGCACAACTTAGTTAGAAGACTCATTGTGGTAGAGTCCGTGTTTCTTTTTTTTTTTTTTTTTTTGGTTAGAAGACTCATTGTGGTAGAGTTCGTGTGTTTTTTTTTTTGTTTTTTTTTTTGTTTTTTTTTTTGTTTTTTGTTTGTTTGTTTGTTTGTTTGTTTGTTTCCAATAAGGACCAGCTGGAGCCTGTTAGAGGGGGTGGTATGAGCATCCCCATCTAGAAGGTTGTGGTGTCTGTAATGACTCTGTATTGTTGCTTATTGGCTGGACCCGGTTTCCAGCAGGTGTCGCCCCCCACCAATAGACGGAGCAGCCCCAAAAAAAGAAAAAAAAAGAAGGAAAAAAAAAAAGGTTGGACTCTTTTGTGAGTGTTTATTTGCGAGAACAGAACAGCCTGTATGGTATCTGAATTGTCGTCATGATTTTCGATTCTATCGCATCTCATGGATTTGTGTTCTCGTCGGAGTTTACGTCGAGTGTTGCTTGTTTGTTTACGAAGTGTTTTGGCTGGCAATTAGATGAGTGTGAGAGGACTTCAAAGTTCACACCACCAAACCTAACCCCCCTGCTTCCCATCCCCCAAAGCCACCCCACCTGCTTCTGTGAATTTTGACTGGGTGGAGGGGGCCAAGTGGCCCCCATCATGGGTGCAGGCTTGCTGCTGGTGCCGAGTTTCCAACCGTCTTCTTGCACACGTGGCAGGTTAGCGTCAGCAAAGTCAGTGATCCAGCATGGGCATCGTTCTGCGAATCTTATGAATCAGCTCACTCCCTTCAAGATCTCACTGCAAATATTGCACGGGTACGTTGACAAAGAAGTGCAGGACTGACCTGGTTCTTATCACTTTTACCCTTCTTCTCCTCTTTTATTCTTATTCGCTCTCCTCCTCTCTTCCTCTCTTCCTCTCTTCCTCTCTTCCTCTCCTCACCTCTCCTCCTTTCCTCTCCTCTCCTCCTCTCTTCCTCTCCTCGTCTCCTCTCCTCTCCTCCTCTCCTCACCTCTCCTCCTCTCCTCACCTCTCCTCCTCCCCCTCTTTCTTCCTCCTCTCCCTCCTCCTCCTCCTCCTCTCCTCCTTTCCTCCTCTTCACTTTACAAATTTAATACTCCTCTCCTCCTTTCCTCCTCTCCACTTTACAAATTTAATACTCGAAGAATCATAGCCCGGTCTTAAGGGGACTGGGCATGAGAAGCATTCACACATCTGTTCACACACCCTCGCTATGTCATACACTTCCTGTGTCAGGACGGAACCGGTCGCTAGGAACTGCCTTAGGTCCACTGCACCTGTACGCTTTTTGTACCCTTCCATCCATCCATCCTGTTAGAGCTTATTGTCATCGATTGTAGGGGTACGAGTCTTAAGGGTGGAGTACAGTGTACACTGTTTGCTGAAGTTACCACCGCCTTCGTTTTGCTGTTTTAGGGTTTTAGTAGTTTAGCACAACAGTGGTTAACGGGGACCCCGGCTTTTCAACTCTTGGGTAACAGGTCCAAAACTGAAATTAGGTTTTTTTGGGGGGGTGTTCAAATTGGATTTTTTTTTTTTTTTTTTTGTCTGTTTTTTGTTTTGTTTTGGTTAAAAGGTTGCTGTTTGGGCGAATTTGGTGTCTTTTGGAATATTGAAAATCCCTCTAGTTTCACTTAATCAGATTAATCTTAATTTGAAGTTGGCAGTCATGCGTTGGAAATAAGAAACAATTGAGCTGCTGAGCTGTCATCTGATCGCATGGGTGGGTTTCATTTTCTCCGTCAGGTGTTGGGGGTAACCAGTCCACCAGTGCGGATTGACAGCCAAGCCAAGTATGGAGCTATGGCGAGGGGTGATGCTGCCATTTACCTGCGCTTCCCTCATTTAGGCTACCGCGAAAAAATCTGGGATCATTGTGCAGGAGCCATGGTTATCCAAGGTTTGTACCTCTGGCCATCCTTTTTTTTTTTTTTTTTTTCCCTCCCCCCCCCCC